TGCTGACCAAAGGCCCGACCATGGCGCGCGGAAGAGTGATCATGGCCTGTGCGGCGCTGGCCTGCACATTGGTCAGCATGAAATCTGCCTTCACTCCATCCCTGCCGGGCAACATGGGCATGGCCACTGCTGGTCGGGATGGAAGCAAAGCAGCGCACGCTCACGCAGCGAAATGCTGACGGCTCAATGCTGAAGCCATTTGGCCCAGTTGTGACCTATGCCAAGGCACTCATGGATGCAGCCCGTGAGAAAGACGAAGATGTCGCTGTCACAGAGGATGTGCTGATGATCAAGGACAAGTTCAAGGAGGAGGAGTGGCTGGACAAGCTGGTGACTGTGCAGAATGATCCTTACCTAACTGAAGTGCAGAAGGCCAACAAGATCGTGGACCTCTTGAAGCCCTTGAAGTCCACTGTGATGCCCAAGTTCATCGTCTTTTTGGCCAAGAAGAATCGATTGAACGGTATCAAGGTGATCATGTTTGAATACGTGCAGAGCATGTACTACCTCCAATCCATCACTCCTGTGCGAGTGACTTCCGCACAGCGCTTGACAGAGGATCAGCTGGCAAAGATCAAGGAGAAGATGAAGAGCAAATGTGGCACCAGAGACGTGAAGTTGGTGGCAGAAGTGGACCCCAACCTCATTGGCGGCCTGACCCTGGAGTGGGGTTACACCGATCCAGTTCAACTCTACGCTCCTACTCACGGCGTGGACCTCTCACTCAAGAACATTCTCAACAAGAGGGCCCTTCAGAAGGGCGTGGTGGATGCACTCTGAGCCGAGCACTTGCCCCAGGTTCTGCTCTGCCCACAGAGATATTGTTGAGTTAGATGCATAGCCTTTGCACACGATCATTTTTTCCAGTTCCGATGGAGTATTCAATGAAATGCCGAAGATTCTTGTGTTGCCTTGTAGCCACTTCTAGACAACATCTTGCAGCTCATCGGGAAAAGAAAAAGATCTCTTGACAATGCATTGCGGAGGGGTTTGCCCAGTCAGTCGCATGGTAAAACAATCATTCTCTACCATGGGACCATGTTCTAGTTTTGGGGGCCCCGACCGCGTTAATTGGTCAGTATTTTCTCATCATTTTTGCTTGTCACAAGGTGCCACCACCGCATTTGTCACAGGACTTCAGAGGCATGCAGGTTGACTTGCGAGTTGACCGGTGTGTTCTTTGGCTCCCTCAGGGAACAGGAAACACTGTGCACCTTGCTGATCAAAGGCCCGACCATGGCGCGCGGAAGAGTGATCATGGCCTGTGCGGCGCTGGCCTGCACATTGGTCAGCATGAAGTCTGCCTTCACTCCATCCCTGCCGGGCAACATGGGCATGGCCACTGCTGGTCGAGGGATGGAAGCAAAGCAGCGCACGCTCACGCAGCGAAATGCTGACGGCTCAATGCTGAAGCCATTTGGCCCAGTTGTGACCTATGCCAAGGCACTCATGGATGCAGCCCGTGAGAAAGACGAAGATGTCGCTGTCACAGAGGATGTGCTGATGATCAAGGACAAGTTCAAGGAGGAGGAGTGGCTGGACAAGCTGGGGACTGTGCAGAATGATCCTTACCTAACTGAAGTGCAGAAGGCCAACAAGATCGTGGACCTCTTGAAGCCCTTGAAGTCCACTGTGATGCCCAAGTTCATCGTCTTTTTGGCCAAGAAGAATCGATTGAACGGTATCAAGGTGATCATGTTTGAATACGTGCAGAGCATGTACTACCTCCAATCCATCACTCCTGTGCGAGTGACTTCCGCACAGCGCTTGACAGAGGATCAGCTGGCAAAGATCAAGGAGAAGATGAAGAGCAAATGTGGCACCAGAGACGTGAAGTTGGTGGCAGAAGTGGACCCCAACCTCATTGGCGGCCTGACCCTGGAGTGGGGTTACACCGATCCAGTTCAACTCTACGCTCCTACTCACGGCGTGGACCTCTCACTCAAGAACATTCTCAACAAGAGGGCCCTTCAGAAGGGCGTGGTGGATGCACTCTGAGCCGAGCAGTGCCTGGAGCCTGGGCGCAAAGACTGAAGCCTCGGTTTTTGAATACGACTTGAGGTGCCAACTGGCAGTTACTGGGTGCCAGGGATTTTATGCCACACACTCTGCTTCCACAGCTAGCTTACTGAGCACACCTGAGGGGCAGGGCATTCTCCGTAGCTTCGTCCGGGAGCTACCAGAAATCAGCCAAAGAGGCAAAATAGAGAGCGGCTGAGCGGCTTGCCTGTGTGGGAGAGGTGAGGTTTGAAAACGTGAACATAATGTAGTAAGCCCAATCACATACACGCGCACAGGCACACACACACACAATATATATATATATACATAATATAAAAAACCACCTGCAAGGACTGACCACAAATGGGTGGTAAAAAGAATCCCCAAATGGTAGGTGCACCCGAAGTGCCGATTCCGCTGGCAGGTTCCATGTGTCAAGTTGGACGGCTTCACCTTGCCAGCCACGGACTGGAGGGCATTCACTAGTACCCACTAGTGTCCATTATGTTCAGTAATATCCAGTAATGTCCATTCAAGTCCATTCATAGTCTGATTTCTGGTCCGGAGGTGCTGCGCCCCTAGACCATTTATATACACCTTCTGAGAAGGGCTTGGGGTGTCAGGATGTGGATGGCATCGCTGGGTTCCCTCCGTGCCGGCTGAAGGAGCCAGCCCAGTTGCTGATCCGTGATGGTGATGTGCTGGCTCTAGAGTGGAAGGATGTCTTCCAGATGAGCAACTGGGCCTGGAGAGCAACGTGACCAGGATGCCCCCAGCATCTTGAGTGGCTCCCACGATCGATTTAAGTAAGATACTAGACATAAGTTACAGATGCTTACAGAATCCAGGCCATTCTGACAAATTGGAACTGCTACTGTCAGAAAACCGCCTGCAGACATTGGTACTTTCAGAAGACCGCCTGCAGACAGCCTAAGACCCCAAATCAGCATGTTGCGCTTCTAACATCCTGATGATATCCCCTTGATCCTTGATCCTATCCAAAAAAGCTCATGATTTGGGGAATCCCCGAGGCACCTCCAAGTCCTCTGGTGGCTATGCCCGGGGCGACCTGGCGGCCCGGCGGCGCCTGGAAGGGGCCGCGCGACGCGCAGGTCATGGAGATGGCCTTTGTCCCATGGGTTATGGTTGGGGGTTCTAATCCCATGCCCCATATTAATCCATATGACACATAATCCCATATGGATTATAGTCCCATATGGGGGATTGGATAGTCCATATGACACATCCCCAGTTTATGGTCCCATAAAAAGATATGTATTTCATCATATGTCATAAAGCAATATAAAGCATAGTTTCTGGTGTTTGGTTACCCAATGGGGGGTGGGAGTGGAGGATCATCCCATTGGATCGTTTTTCCGGCGGGCGTTTTGCCACTGAATGGGACTTATGATCACCAAGGTTTCTATATTAGCAGTCCAAAGTCCATCAAGCAGTCCAAAGTACATCGGCGTCTTTGCAGGGTCGAAAGTCTGCACATCCAGGATGAGTTTGTTTGGTGTCGGCACATCCCCATCACCTCTCATCTGCCAAAAGAGAAGGCAACGCTCGGTTTATTCGGTTTATTTAAGTGGTATCTGAAGAGTCTGAAGATCAGCAACATACCAATTTTCGTAGTCTCAAAGCTTGGTGGTGGTCTGTACCCAGTACTTCCCAGTGCATATTTCCATCGTATTTTCCATGTCCTCCATAGTTCACCGATGCCGTTGATCCAGGGCTGGCGGATCTGCCGGAGGTGCTTCTGGGGGATGAGCCGCAACTCTTTGATGACCAGTTGCTGGGCGACTCAGCTGCAAAATGCTGCAGACATGGGAACTGGGCGTGAAGTTTGACGTCATCTACCCCGGCGGAACTTTGAACTTTTTGGGAACGTCATTTCAAGATTTCAAGATAAAATTGTGCAGATTATCATAGATGGTCAATTTCTATTAAAAAAAAGGAGCCTTATGTTCAACGAATTTGGGCCTAAATGCCGTGGAACGTTGATGGACACCATCCGGCTCGTCCCAGGTGGTTGGCCCAAAGCCGTGGCTGCCTGGACCGCAATGCGACAGCAGCTGATACCCCGGGCGAAGGTGGCGAAGGTCGTCTTGGTGAAGGTGAGACTCAGAGAGGTTCAAAAAATGGACACAGGGCAGCTGGATGGAGCAGCTGGATGGATGGAAAATTGGATGTTGAAAAGTGGACAAGTGAATCGGTGATGCCAAGGATTGAGAAGGATCTGATTTGAAGATATTTGAAGGGATTTGGCGGATTTGACATGCCATTATCTATGAGATTTTGAGGTCAGCCACAGAGTGACCAGAAACTGGTCATCCCTATATTACTATAGCATGACTTGTTCTGAAGCTTTGACTCAGTCACTACGACAGTTGAAAGGATGTTGGGAATCGATCCACCCAAAATCTTCCACAAAGGACGCCCCCTAGGATAGCAGAGATGAAGCTTTTGCTCACTTGATAGAAGTTTGGGTAGACATTCAGAAGTGTGGCATTGAAGCGCACAGCATCATCAGCAATGGCCACAGTTGCCGCTGTAGTGATTGGTGGCTGAAGCAATGTTTGCAAGTGGCTTTGTCCAAAACTGAGGGACACACCAACTAAGCAGATGGGGATCAACGGATCAACCATGGTTTCCTGATTTTCTCCCCCAAACTTTCAGTCCAAGTCTGTCATAGATCTTGGCAGATGTTCTCCCAGCCTGGAGCCCATGGTCTCCAAACGCTGCATCCTGGCCCTGGCGTGCCTTCCCGCGCTTCTCAGAGGGTCATCCTGGGGCTGAAAATAGGGCAAAAGGCAAAAGGTAGTGCCAGGTAGCATCAACATCCCCAAAAAAGTGATTGTCATGATTCGTCATCGCTTTCCTCAGTGGCATGGCAAGAACCAGGGGGTCCCCATCCCCCCATTTTTTGGGCAAAGCCATGTCTTGCCTGCCGTGTTTCGCAGGCCGTTGGATGCCTTTCCTGCGGCCTCCAGATCTACCCAACCTGGGGCAACTCCTGGTCGCGGCAGAGGTGACCCCCAGGGTTTTCTGAATCCTTGAACTCTTCACGAAAAGGCACTTCCAAGTCATGCAGATGTCCAGTCCAACAAGTGGGATGATATGGGCTGATGGGTGGATATGGCTGGCTTGAGGAAAATCCAAGAACAGACGGAGAGATGTGTCTGGTCTGCCGGTGCAAATTTTGCACCCGTCGGCGTCTCAGAGGGACCATGAAATAGAGGATGATCAGATGGATTGCCTCAATGTTCCAATTAACGGCGACCACTGATGGTCCATGATTGTTTTTTGCGTTTGTTTCCATTTCAGTGGCAGCTGGGTTCGCTGCTGGAGTGTTGCAGCAAATTGCCAGGTCCAAAGTGATGCATGGCAAGCCCAAAGCCTACTGGATGCCTGGCGATGGTGACACATTTCTGGCTTGGCTGGTGCTCTTCTTATTTCTTATTTTTTAGATGGGACAATCCTGATAACATAATTATATTAATTATGTTGAGAGATATAGATTGAAGCCACCAAGCAGACTTGACCCACATTCAAAAAGATCAAAAAGGTTGTTTGCATCTACATCAACCCTTCAAGTTGCATGAATGCATGTCATTTGGAGTGTTTGCATCCAACAATTTTCAATGGTGGCAGTGGCCTATGGGCTGATGGGGTGCAGATAGTGGCAGCCACCTTGTCATTGGATACAATTGCTCCACTGGTTGCGCACACCAGAAGGCCCTACAAATCCAATCATTAGCCAATTTACCATAAAACCCTGGGGCTTCTTACAATAAGATTGTCCGATTGTTTTTTTTTCCTTCTTTGCCCCTTCGTCGGGACTTTTAGCAAGTCCTCTGTGACGAATGCAGTGCAAGGAGAGATGTTTTCCGTGTGTGGGAGCGCGAAATTCCAAAGC